AGAGCGGGCAGGAAGGGACGGGGATAAGAACAGCGCCCACTGCATCCCCCCAGGGCTGTCCAGTGGACCCCGCTGTGCCTGAACTTGCCTCGGGGTTAGTTAGCCAAGGGATCGGAAAGACAGGGCCTCCTCTGGGTCCTATAAGCATAAGCCAAAGCCCCCGATCATGTCCTTAACCCAACCCGGAGATGAGATGAAAACAGATTTGAACACAGCTGCCGTCCACCGCTTCTTTGCAGCGGACACAGTCCCGGGAACTCTGGCTTGTAAAGGAAGCCAGTTGGGATACAGAGGCTGAGATAGGAGGATCGCCAGTTCAAAGCCAGCCTCAGCTTCTTTGGCCCTAAGCAACTCAGAGAGACCCTGTCTCTAAATAAAATAAGAAAAAGAGTTGGGGATGTAGCTCAGTGGTTAAGTGCCCCTGAGTTCAATCCCTGGGGGTGTGGGGGGAGATAGATAGATAGATAGATAGATAGGTAGATAGATGGCCATGGGAGGTAGAAAACTCTCCAGGCTGCAAGACCCTATAACAGTGCCATGTCCTACCTAGACAACAAGGAGAGGAGGGCGGTTGTGCTACCCTAAGGCCCAGTGCTCATTAGATGTGTAATAGCCTGGTGACATAATGGAAACCAACTTTTAGGAAGCATGGCCTCCCTCCCTCTAAGGTCTGTGTAGTTTGTGCCTGGAGCAGAGGGCAAATAGAGGGTGAGATCCAAGCGCCACAACACTGCGCATATCCAACCTGCACCCAAACCGCAAAAATGCAAGCTGGGCCAGCCAGGGTGTCCTGTCTGGAAGATTATTCTGACCGTAGCAGTGTCTAGCATTGCTTAGGTCAAAAGAGACTACAGACTATTTGACCAGTTACGATTTTTAAATGTCCTACGTATTTAAAAATGTCCCTGTAAGCCCACAGAATGGGAGAAAATCTTTGCCAGCTGTTCCTCTGACAGGATTAATATCCAGATCAATAAAGATTTTAAAAACTGTAAAACGCACCAAAAAGCCTAAAATAACTCAATCAATAAATGGGCAAAAGAACTAAACAGACATTTCTCAAAAGAAACACAAATGACCTACAAATATATGAGAGAATGTTCCACATTCCCACTAATCAGGAAATGATATCAAAACTAGACTAAGATTTCATTTCACTCCAGTCAGAATGGCAGTGATCAAGCACACAGACAGTAATACATGCTGGCAAGAATGTGGAGGTAAAGATGTACATTGTGGGTGGGACTGCAAACTGGTACAACCACTCTGGAAAGCAATATGGAGATTCCTCAAAAAACTAGGAATGGAACCACCATCTGACGCAGGTGTCCCACTCTTGGGAATTTATAAAGGAAAAATCAGCATAGTATAGCAATCCAGCCACCTCAGTGTTTGCACACTACAACTCATAATAGCCACGTTATGGAGTCAGCCCAGATTTCCGTAAATAGATGAATGAATTGAGAAAATGTGATTTTTTTAGCCATAAAGAAGAATGAAATTATGGCATTTGCTGGAAAAATGGATGGAAAGAGAGAACCTCATGCTAAGTGAAATAAAGCTAGTCTCCAAAAATCAAGGGTTGATTGTTTTCTCCTATGTGGAGGCTAGAGCAAAGTAATGGAAAGAAGGTGTGGCGGGGGTGGGGCTGTGGCTCAGTGGTAGAGCACTTGCCTCACATGTCTGAGGCTCTGGGTTCAGTTCTCAGCATAAAAATAAATGAATAGAATAAAAGTCCATCAACTAAAAAAATTTAAAAAGAGAAGGTGTGGGGGGATTAGTTATCATAAAGATACAGGGAAGATTAATAAAGTAAAAGGTGATCAAGCAGGAAGGAGGAGGGAAAGGAAAGGGGAGGAAAAGAGGCATGGAATTTTTAAAAATCATGCTATGGTGCATATATAAATATGCCACAGGTAACTTCACCTTTCTGCATATGGGGGAAGAATCAATTAAAAATAAATTTTGAATTAAATGGAAAATCAATAGAATTGTGGGAGGAAATAGGGGGAGGGAAGAAAGGAGGGAAAAGCTGGGAATGGGGACTGGAATCAAATTCCTTGCGTATACAGTTTTGTCAGGACGAACCCAGCTAGTGTGTAGAACCATACTGCACTAATAACAGGAATCCTGAAAGCCATATTGAATGTTGCTGAGCTCTGATCCAGCTACCAGGGAACGGTTTCTGCTCTGCCAACTGACCGCTGTTCATTATTTTTGTGTCTTTAGTTTTGACTAGAATCATTCTAGTCCTCCCAGAATTAAAAAGTCACAAATTGAAATTGGGGCTTAGGAGATGGGGGAACAGTGGTGTGTAGAAAACGTGCTTCCTCCCACACATTTCCTAATTCCAGAGAACCCCAAAGTGTTCTTTTACTGGTTTTCCCAAATGAATATCCAATTCGGGACACAGCAGGCATCTCTTAATTGTACTATTCCTCAGTTCAGTTAGCCGCCACTCCTCCCAACACCTCCATCCAGTTCACTGAGTCACATTAGCTTGCTTTTTACCCCCAGTTATTTTTAAAATGTCAAACCTACAGAAAAATATAGCAAATATCTATATGCCCTTGACTTAATTCACCAGTTATGGACATCTTACCACATCCTCTCTGCCCGCCTCCTTAAAATATTTGAAGGTACTGCACACAACCCTTTTGTGGTTTTGCCTGATTTTTGTCCTTCATGACATTGACTTTTCAGGCCAGACTAGTTCTTTTACAGAATATCCTTCACTGTGGATTTGATTTTCCTCGTTGTTTGATTGTTTTGTGTTGGTATCAGGAGCACTGTAAACAGGATTTATGGTCTTCCTCGGTGCCTCTCCTAAGGAGGCAGAATAACATTTGGTCCCATTCTTGAGTATGTTAAGTTTGATCAGTTGGCACTTGAAAATACCTATAATCCCAGCAGCTCCAGAGGCTGAGGAGCTACATCCCCAACCAGGAGGATTGCATGTTCAAAGAAAGCCTCAGCAACTTAGTGAGGCCCTAAGCAACTTAGTAAGACCTTGTCTCAAAAAACAAAAAGGACTGGGATGTGGCTCCCTAGTGGTTAAGCACTTCTGGTTTCATCTCTTGGTACCCCCCCCCCCAAAAAAAAAATAAATAAATAAAATGAGTAAAAAGGGCTGGGATGTGACAAGTCCCCATGAGTTCCATCCCTAGAACTGGGGCGGGGGGTGGGGGGGAGTAATCTGTGTGTTAATGCTCTTTTCACCCAGTGTTTTCAGCCTTCCTTGATTCTCGACTGAATAACTATTGCCTTTTTTTAAACCAGCCTGGTGTTGGAGATGGAACCCTGGAACCCAGGGCCTCACACATGGTGGGAAAGTGCTCTACCACTGAGTAACACTTTCAGCCTAACTTATTAAAATGAGATCTACAAATTGTAATTTTTTCTAAATCTAATATTCTAAAGAGAATGACTTCAAGGATCAGTGTGGAAGTTATAACTATTTATTGAATTTGTGTGTGTGCATGCACATGCACACATGTACACTGAGAATTGAATCCAGGGCCTTGTGCATGCTGGGCTGAGCTATATCCCCAACCAATTGATATTTTTCATAACAAGTACTTCCCGCTCCTCAGTTTTTGGTGTCATTCTCAATTTGTGGTTCTGACTTCCTCTCTTTCTCCTCCTCCCCCACTTGCCCTTCTCCTTCTCCTTCTTTTTAATTCTGTGTGCTATAACCCATCAATTCATGCCATTCCTCTTTTTATGCTTCAGAGTGGCCAAAGGGAGCCCCTGCAGACTGGCCCTCCCGTTCTCTCACAAACCTTACCAGCTCTTGGGTACCTCCTTTTTCTCACAATAAAGCAAGCGTTCTACAACCCAGCCTGGAATTTCTCCATGGAGCTGGTTTCTTAGGGACCTGCCAAGATGAGTCTAGTTAACACATAGAATTTTCCCTCCTTTGGATCTGTGTAGATACCTTGCTTGGGTTGTTATTTAGCTCACACTTCTCACTCTTTGTTTTCTACACAGTGGAGGTTATATCTAGACCTGATGGATTCCATTTGGAACCTGTGGGTGTGGGGTGTGATTGCATTTGACAATGCAGCAAAAGATAGTCTATCTGAATCCCATAGGACCCTTAACCTTATCCTGAAATGCCTGATGTTAATGAGAGTATTAATTAGTCATGTTTCATGATATATTTGGCTTCCTTGAACTGTACTTACTTTTCCCCCTTCTCCTCACTTTTTGTTCACAGTTGGACAGAGCGAGTCTGAAGATGTGAGGGAAAGAGACTCTGATAAAGAGATGGCTGCCCAGTCTGCCGTTGTTGAGGACATCACGAAGGACAGGCAGGAGGAAATGCCTGAAGTCATCGAACAGATCCCTTCAGAAAGCAATTTAGAAGAGTTAACCCAACCTACTGAGTCCCAGGCTAATGATGTTGGATTTAAGAAGGTGTTTAAGTTTGTTGGCTTTAAATTCACTGTGAAAAAGGATAAGAACGAGAAGTCTGACACTGTCCAGGTGCTTGCCGCCAAAAAAGATGAAGTTGAGGGAACAGAAGGGTCAAATGGGGCCGGTGACCACCAAGAGCTCAGCGTGGAGATCAGGGAGTCGGCATCCAAAGAAAGTGAATTAAAGCAATCCACAGAGCAGCCAGAAGACTCCCTTAAGCTCGAGCCAAGCAACACAGAGGTTTCTCTTCAGACTGAGTCTGGTCAGGGGTCAGAGGAAGGCAAAGACGAAGGAGAAGAAAAAGAACCCACCAAGACTTCAGAATCTCCCACCAGCCCCGTTGCCACCGAGACAGCATCGCCCTTCAAGAAATTCTTCACCCAAGGTTGGGCTGGCTGGCGCAAAAAGACCAGCTTCCGAAAGACAAGGGAGGAGGAGTTAGAAGCTTTGGAGAAGAAAAAGGAGCAAGAGCCAGAAAGGTCAGGCGCAGAGGAGAAGACAGAAGAAACCTCAGAGGAGCAGCCACAGCCACAGGACCCCACGGGGGGTGTAGATGAGGCCAGACTGTCCGGTGAGTTTGAGAAGGTGGAGCTGCCCTCCGAGGACCCAGGCAGCGGCTTGCAGGGCTCTTCGGAAGAGAAGTGCGCTCCACTGGCCACAGAGATCTTCGATGACAAAATAGAAGTCCAGCAAGAAGTCATTGCCGAAGTCCACGTCGCCAGCGCCACCGAGAAGAAAACAGAGGAGCAAGAATCAGATGTGGCAGACGCGGGAGGGCCCTCCCCACCTGAAAACCTGGTTGAAATGGAAGCTGGAGCGGCCGAGGAGCTGGTGGAGACGGAAGACGTGTGCGTCCCCAGAGAAGACGGTCCCCAGCCAGCTGAGCCGAGCGCCGAGGAGCAGGGGGTGTCCAGACACCCCGAAGGCGTGGTGAGTGAGGTGGAAATGCTGTCATCACAAGAGCGAATCAAGGTGCAGGGAAGCCCCCTCAAGAAGCTCTTCACGAGCACTGGCTTAAAGAAGCGTTCGGGGAAGAAACAGAAGGGGAAGCGAGCCGGCGACGACGAGTCGGGGGAGCAGCCTCAGGCTGCAGCAGAGTCGCCGGACAGCGCCGACGAGCAGAAGGGCGAGAGCTCCCCTTCATCCCCCGAAGAGCCCGAAGAGATCACGTGTCTGGAGAAAGGGATAGCAGAGGGCCACCAGGAAGGGGAAGCGGAGGAGGGAGCGACTTCGGACGGAGAGAAAAAGAGGGAAGGCATCACACCCTGGGCATCCTTCAAAAAGATGGTGACGCCCAAGAAACGGGTCCGGAGGCCCTCGGAAAGCGACAAAGAGGATGAGCTGGACAAGGTGAAGAGCTCTACCTTGTCTTCCACGGAGAGCGCAGTCTCGGAAATGCAAGAAGAAACCAAAGGAACCGGAGAGGAGCAGAAGCCCGAAGAACCAAAGCGCAAGGTGGACACGTCCGTGTCGTGGGAAGCTTTGATCTGTGTGGGGTCATCCAAGAAAAGGGCAAGGAAAGGATCATCTTCTGACGAGGAAGAAGGACCGAAAACCACGGGAGGAGACGGCTGCAAAGCAGAGGAAGCCGGCAAAGACAAAGAGACGGGAAGCAACACCATCCTTGCCAGCTCCCAGGATCAGGATCAGGGGCCAGGAAGTTTCTCCCCCGAGCCAGCCGGAAGCCCCTCGGAAGGGGAGGGTGTTTCCACCTGGGAGTCCTTTAAGAGATTGGTCACCCCAAGGAAAAAATCCAAATCAAAACTGGAAGAGAAAACCGAAGAGCCCGCTGTGGAACATTTAGCTTCAGAGGTTGAACCCGGGAAGGAAGAATCTTGGGTCTCCATTAAGAAATTTATTCCAGGCCGTCGGAAGAAAAGGTCGGACGGCAAACAAGAACAAGTCGCCGCCGAAGACCAGGGGCCAACAGAAGCCAACGAAGACGATCCCGATGTCCCAGCTGTGGTACCTCTGTCCGAGTACGATGCGGTGGAGAGGGAGAAGCTGGAGGCACAGCAGGCCCTCCAAAGTGCAGAGACGTCCCAAGGAAAGATGCCTGTGGACGTGCCTGAGGAGCTCAGCAAGAATCTGGTTCACACGGTGACTGTGGCCGTCATCGATGGGACCAGGGCGGTCACCGATATTGAAGAACGGTCTCCTTCTTGGATTTCTGCTTCAGTGACAGAACCCCTTGAACAGGCGGAAGAGGAGGACATTCCATTAATTGGGGAGGTCACTGAAAGAGAAGTCATTGCAGAAGAAACCCCCGTGGTCACGGAGACTTTGCCAGAGAGCAGAGAGGCCCAGGATGTCACGATGGCCAGCGAGGTGGAGTTGACTTCCGAGGCGGTGACGGCTGCAGAAACCACCGAGGCGCTGGGTGCCGAAGAAGCAACAGAAGCGTCAGGTGCCGAAGAGACTACGGAAATGGTGTCAGCAGTTTCCCAGTTAACCGAATCCCCAGACACCACCGAGGAAGCCACCCCTGTTCAGGAGGTAGAAGGTGACGCGCCAGACATGGAAGACCAGGAGAGGCGGACTCAAGCCGTCCTGCAGGCGGTCGCGGAAAAAGTGAAAGAGGAATCCCAGCTGCTGGAGACCCTCGGGCCGGAAGGTGTGATCCAGACCTCACCGAAAGAGGAGCCCAGAGCCCCAGAGGTGGAAGGAGCAGAAGAGGGTCTGAGGAGAGAGATGGAGGTACCTGGGGGGGAAACCAAGGCTGAGCACTCCACCCCAGGCCCTGTCGTTACCCAGACCAGCCCTGAAAGCTCTGAAAACATTCCTCACCTCCCGGCGAGCGCAGAGTCCAAGAGGCCTGAAACCACTTGTCAAGAGGAAACTTTAGCTGAGGTCAAGTCCCAGGAGAATGCATCGGAAGAGGCTCATCCTCCCGACTCGACTGAAACTCTGACAGACAGTGGGACCAACGGAAGCACCCCCGTAGCAGATTTTGAAGCCCTGGATACCATGCAGCAAGATGAAGTCGCGGAAAGCCAAGAAGAGGATGCGGGCGTCTCGGGTACCCAGTCCCAGGTCACACTGGCAGAGGCTGTTCCTGGGCAGAAAGAGGGGCCTCCCTCACCACCTCATTTTCAATCCCAAGAAGAAAACATAGAGCAATCAGAAATGGAAGAAAGTCTAGATCATAGAGATCCAGAGGTGTCAGTGGAAGCTGTACCCATTCTATCCAAGACTGAGGGGATTCAAGAGACCGGCCAGTTTGCTGAGGAGGAAGCCAAAGATGGAGAGTATGTCGAAGAACTCGAAGCGCCTTCACACACAGAAAAAAGCATCAGCCAGGAAGAGGTCACTGAGGTTGCCCTGACAGGTGAAGTGACCATGGGAGCGGAAAGCCAGAATGATAATACTGATCTCCGGAGCCCGAGTCCAGAGATGGCAGCTCAGGGAGAAGAGGAGGAGACAGAAAAAAAGTCAGCACAAGTGAGTGAAGAAATCCCTGAGCAAAAAGCAGCTGTTCCCGGATCTGAAGAGCCCAGCCAGGAACTGGCTGAGACCGTTAGTGTGCCTGGCCTGGACGGGAGACAGGAAGAGGGCAGCCTTGAAGCAGTCTCTCCTGGCCCAGATCCAAAGGGAGTGGGGTGCACAGAGGTTCATGTGCAGAGCTCTGAGGCACTGGCATCTCCAGCAGCAGTGGAGGAAAAGGTCTTAGAAGAAACTATCGAGATTTCAGAAACAGGTGAAATCTTGGAGTGTGCAGGTGCACGTTTAGGACCAGAAGGAAGAACCTCTGAAAAAGAAGACTCGATTCCTCAGCCAGGGGACACCATTGTGCTCGAGGGGCCCGAGCCTCAGGCAGAATCCATGCCAGCAATAGTATCTGCCACTCCCGAAAGAGGCCTGCCCTCTGACCTGGAAGGAGAGAAGAGCACATCACAGAAACAGAGGTCAGACGAAGACGAGGAGCAGACTGATCAGCAGGAAGGCCAAATGAGTGTAGCCAGAGACGATCCCCTGGGCGAAAATGAGGCTTGGGAACTTGAGACCAGGAGCAGTAAGTTTGTCCAGAACATCATTCAGACAGCCGTTGACCAGTTCACACGGTCGGAAGAAACAGCCACAGGTATGCTCACAACTGAATGGCAGACGCAGACCCTCCTGATGCAAGCTGACAGCCAGGAGGCCACAGAGGAACCCAAGAAAGAAGAAGAAGAAAGTCAGGAATCTGCGCAGGATGAAAGGGAAGCTATTGCAGCCCAAGAGGAGCCAGAGCTCACTGCTGTGCATCCACCACTTGCTGACGCTTCCCAAGATGTGAGCGCAGCTTCTGAAAAGATCGTGACCGCTGAGATCAAAAGTCCCAGTGTCAGTAACCAGCAGGGCGAAGAGCTGATTCTCTCATCCAAGGCCGAGGGAGATGGAACAGGAATGAAGTCTGTGTCGGATGAGGGTCAGGCTGAATTAGGAGAAAGAACAAAGAAGTTGCCATTGGAGTCCAAAGAAGACGAAAAAGGAGATGCTGACCACCCAGAGAACCAAAGCTCCACCCTGGCGGATGCTGATGCCTCGGGAGACTTAACCAAAGAGTCCCTGGATGCCAATGGACCAAAACCGAAAGAGGAGGAAGATGCCCAGGAAGTAGGATTTCACGGGGGAAAAGTGCACAGTGAGTCAGAGAAGGAGCCCAAACCCCAAACAGAAGAGCAGATACAGAAGCACGGGAGAGAACTGGCAAGACCCGAACTGGCAGAATCCTAAGACATCGTGTAAGTAAACTTCTGTCTTCTAAAGAGATTCCTCCCCCCTTTATTTGGGAATCCAAATAATTATGATCATTAATTTTTTTCTTCATTGAAATGCCATTTAGTCTTTTTGGTGTCACAGAAATAATGGCTTCATTTGAACCCTTGTGGAACTGCTTTAGAAGAGGATAAAGGGCATGATGTGTTTGGCTGAAGGCACAGGAGATTCACTGTGCACACCCAGCCTCATATCAACTGGTTTGTTGAGTTTTTTGTTTTATTTTGAAATAACTAGCAGTCAAAAGGAGTGTAGGGCTAAGATTGTGGCTCAGTGGTAGAGCACTTGCCTAGCATATGTGAGGCACTGGGTTCCATCCTCAGCACCACATAAATATAAATAAATAAAATAAAAATATTGTGCCATCTACAACTAAAAGTATTTTTTTAAAAAAGAAGGTTTATATCCGAGTGTTTGAATTTTTATTTATAGTTCTTTAGAAACAAGTATATTTCCCCCTCTCCCTGTGCCTCCCCCACCTACCAGCAGCATTAACAAGTATTTTCTGAAGTATCCAATGCATATGGACCTGATAGGAAGTACTACTACACCCACAAGTTTTGTGATATTTTAGCATGATATAATGTGGACTCTCACTAGCTTTCTTTTTTGCGTGTGGTTCTGAGGATTGAACTCAGGACTTTGGGCATATTGAGCATGCACTCTATAGCTGAAAAAGACCTCCCTAGCCCACTGTCTTTTAAAAATGTATTTATTTATTTTTTTTTATATTTACTTTTTAGTTATAGGTGAACACAATATCTTTATTTCATTTTTATGGGGTGCTAAAGTTTGAATCCAGTGCCTCACGTGTGCTAGGTGAGCACTCTACCACTGAACCACAACCCCAGCCCAATGTATTTATTTATTTATTATATTTGGTAGTGGGGAGTGAACTCGGGGGAACTTTAACCCCTGAAATATACATCCCCAGTTCTTTTTATTTTAAGATAGAATAAGAGTTGCTGAGACTGGTCTTGAACCTGTGAATCCTCCTCCCTCGGCCCTGTCACTGGGATTACAGGTGTGTGCCACTGCACCCTGCCACCTTTCTTATTTTTAATGGAGGTAAACTGTCATATTACTGGGATTCTCAGTTGCTGCAGTTCACTTGGACGGCTCTTGTGTTTTAATTAATAAGGGGGGGAAAACAAGGTTTTATTTACTCTGCTTCTCACTTCCTTCTACAGTTAAACTCATCGTATATTTGCAAGACCAGTATGTGAAAACAAGTCGTGGAGAAGATGCTGCTGAGACTTGAGACCAACGTTTCAGAACTTTGAGAACCGGAGAACAGGCATGTCCGCTGATCCCACTCCTAGAGCGCCCCCGACAATCCTGAGGCTTCATCAGGAGCTATAGCCATCCCACAGTTCCTTTGTTCCAAGACCACCTGTATTTTCCCTTGTTACCTTATAACATTTCTGATTCAAGGTTCTGAATTCTTAACCTGGAACTGGAGTTGGCAATAACCTGGTTCTGCTTCTCAAACTGGAGTATCATTCTTTATGTATTTATGTGTGTGTCTTAGGTAATCATCCCTCTGTGTTTACTGTATGTTTTTTCTTACTGTGTAAGGACACGTGCAACATAGCACATGCCCTTTGTGTCACACACTATATGACGGGGTGTGCAGCTGTGGGGTAGCCTTGGAAAGACTTAAGCCTCAATGATAAAACCTGTGAAAAACAGCTTCTGAGAAATAACATTCCTAATGAGAAGGTACAGTTCTTACTTTAAAATTCACTAATGCTCAGGTCCATGGTAGAAGCACTCTGAAATCCATCACTTTCCTATTATGCGCAATGAGCTAAAAATAAAAAAAAAAAAAAAGCATTTTGAAAAATACAGTATGTTCCATTGTTACTGTGGGATTTTTCTTTCTAGTCCAGGGACGGTTGGAAAAAAGGCCTTTTCAGTAGCAAATGAAGTCCTAAGTCTTTGCTCCTAATTGTTACTGTTGTTTGGACAGATGAGTGTGCTGATTCTGAGGCAGAGTAGTGAGATGTTTTTTTTTTTTTTTTCATGTTATGCAGAAAAGAATTGACTGTTGTAAGTTTTTGATTTTTACTCTTGTATGCTGGGCCGTATTCAGAGATGGAGTCCGGTTCTTTACAAATGGTATTTTGATAGATACTGGATTGTGTCTGTGTCATATTTGTGCCCCTTCTTTTTAAGAACAATGTTGCATTGTGTTCATTTGGATAAATTGTGATTTGACAACTGATTTAAATAAAATATTTGCTTCACTTAGATTTGCTGGTTTTATTAGGTACTAGGAAGCCCAGGACCAACGTTTACTGGGTTAGAATAAGATGATGACAGTGGTAAGGCAGTAGTAGGTAAGCTGATGCTTTCTAATGTCATCACTACATGAATCCTCACTTTACACCGGTTTGAGTTAGATGCTCAGAGGAAGTCTCAGCAGTAGTTTTTCAGACTGACATTTCTGGTACAGTTTCTTGTCTTAATTCCTGAAAAAGACAGTTTTCTTTGTTAATATTTGGTTTCAAACCAAAAATGGAAGTTGTCTTCAAAAGGATTTTTTTTGGTGTGGGGGAGGGGTGGACCAGGGACTCAACCACTCAACCACTGAGCCACATCCCCAGCCCTATTTTGTATTTCGTTTAGAGACAGGGTCTCATTGAGTTGCTTAGTGCCTTGCTTTTGCTGAGCCTGCCTTTGAAGTTGCAATTCTCCTGCCTCAGCTTCCTGAGCTGCTGGGATTACATGCCTGCACCATCGCCCCTGGCTCTGAAAGGAAAATTTTAAGAAGACTTAATAGTACAAAATGCCTTACCTAAAAGTTGATTTGATGGCAGGGTGTGGTGGTGCACACCTGTAATCCCAGCATCTCTGGAGACTGAGGCAGGAAGATCCCAAGTTTGAGGATCCCAAGTTCAAGGACAGAGTCAGGTCAACTCATTGAGACCCTGTCTCAAAAAAAAAATAAAAAAATAAAAAGGTGGTGAAGTGCACTTGGTTTAAATCCCTAGTATACTCTCCACATGCCTCCTCCTGCCCCCGCCAAGTTAACGTGATGATTTTTACACAAAGGATTTTGTCAGACAACTGTCCCATAAAGAACAAGCTACATGTATATAGTATATGTCACCTGTAGTATATAGTTGTGTTTTTCTCATATGAAACTGGCCTGGCAAATATGCATAAATTCGACTTAACCTCAGTACTCCAGTTTGAGAATTTAAATTTTAACTGTCAATGACTTTTAAAAAGGTAAACATTCTAGAAAGTTATTTAGTTTTAACAAGAAAATTTGGTAGTAAAATTGAAAGTAGTTTCTCTTATTTTAACAAACCTGACTACATATAATTGGTCATATTAGTATGACACCTCATGATAACTGTATCATAACATTTAATATCCTTTTAGGAGTTCTTTTCATAGTCACCCGTGCATAATTATTTGTTTTTGAGATGGAGTCTCTCTGTAAGGATCAAGCTGATCTCTAATTTCTGGGCTCAAGTGATCCTCTTGCCCCAGCTTCCCCCACAGATGGAACTACAGGCATGTGCCAGTAAACCCAGAATCACCTGTGTATTAAATAATTCAAATACTTAAATGTTATCATCCTCCAATTAAAAATCCTCTGATTCCCACCTCTACCCACAGAGACTTTTTCAAGGAATGGAAAGTATTGGAGATGACGGCTTTTCATAGTGTTTCTCTCTGCAGCAGAAAGAAACGTCACCGTCCCAAGCAAGTTAAATGTGTGCCGTTGTCCTTTCTTACCATGTGTGACCAAGTGACAGGCCATCACAACTGGCTTTCCAGTGATCACTGCTTCATGACTGCTTTTTGTACCAATGATGCCTGTGTGCCCTGGATTGCTTCTGTATAAGCTATACATCAAGGGCTGTGTGGCAATACTTGTTTTATTAATGAGGACGCCAACAGTAGCCAGTTTTATAATTTTAAAGCTTCCGTTAATTTATAAGCATAATCAAATAAACTGCAGAAGTTTGAGCAAGTGCCTCAGTTTTGCTATTTTTGACAATAAAATATTTGCATTACCATGGAGCCATGGACAATAGAAAACAATGCTGCAGGGCTTATAAACTCAGGCTGGGGATATAGCTCAGTTGGTAGAGTGCTTGCCTTGCATGTACAAGGCCCTGGGTTCTAATCCCCAGCACAACAACAAACTTGTAAACTCCTGCCTCTAGTCATTGAGGAATATAAAGTGTTCCCCCTCAGGTAATGTTGCTTAAGGGTACCCATGAGTTCCCTCTCTCTGTACATAGATCCTTTGTTCCAATGTTTTCCTTTGATGTTTGGAACTAGAGATAGGGGCTGCGAATTTAGCTTTAAATGTAAGCTTTAAGCTTAGCAGTTACCTCAAATATTTTTGGTTCCTAATTCTGTTTGGGGTCCAGTTTTCATTAAATAAAAAGCAATGTAATTAAATTTTCTTTCTGTAATTTCACTTTGATTCAATTTGTAATGCTGTTCTCTTCACTGCTGTGATATCTGTGTCACACACGTGCTGCTTTGAATGAAGCACTTCACCAGGGACAGTATCCACAGAGCATCACGGGAGCGTGGAATGGGTGCATCTGGGATGGGCACGATCCTGGAATTGTGTCTGCTGAACACACCACCTCTCGCACAACTCTGGACACAGGCAGGTTTCTCTTCCAAGTTCTTCCTCAGCATCTCACTGGATTTAGGAAAATAATCTGGGCCCTTATGATTCTATCCAAGAAAGCTGACATTTCTTTTTTTCTTTTTTGCATAACTGGGAATTGAATCCAGGCCCTTGTAAGCCCTAGCCCTCCGCCTTGAGCTTTGTATCCAGCCCCTTTTATTTTGAGGACAGAGCTTTGTAAGCTGCCAGGGCTGCCCTCAAACTTGTGATCCCCTTGCCTCACCCACACCTAGCTGTGATTACACACATGTGCCCCCATGCCTGCCAAAGGGTGATGTCATAGATTTTGGCTAAGGTGACAGGACTTGGGGATTGCATGGTTATGAAGATATTATTATGAAGATAATTATGACTTTTTTTAAAATGCTGCCATATTCTAATAACCACTCTGCCTTCCTTAGACATTGAGTAACAGGCACTTTTACTGTAGCTTTCTGTAATTGGGAGGACTATCTCCTAACTGCATACTCTTCCATTGCTCATTGACATTAAAAGTGTGAACAGGACAAGGGGTGGTTTTACTCTTTGGAGAAGCCTCTCTGTAACCCTCCTGTTTGGAGACCAGAGGTAGAGGGATGCTTCCCGAATGACACAATGAGTTCTTTTCCCACACAGGGTACTTGAGGACTAAAGCCCAGCATATCTAGTCCTATGCTTCGTCTTCTAACAATCCTAAATAACTTGGTGTAATTAGTGAACACAGCAGTACTTTAACAGACTAACATAAAGAACCACATTGTACTTGATCCTACCTACCCCCTTTGCCTCTGGGCCTCACCCAATGCCTGGGAAAGCAGGTGGACTTGCTTCCAGAGCTGGCAACCTGAGAGAAGAACTCAGGTTCTTTTTTTTCCTATTTTTTTTATTGGTGCATTATAATTATACATAATGGTGGGATTTGTTGTTACATATTCATACACGCACACTGAAACTGGGGTTCTTATAAAAGACTTTGCAAAAATGATCCTGCAGAGACGGCCAGGGTACAAGAGCAGAGTTTATCCTACAGAGTCATTAAAGTGGTTAAGCAGGGAAGTCATGTGACCCTTCTGCCTTAGGGAGTCTCCAGGCCCATTGGGCATGCCTGACATGATGCCCCTGTATGTGCTGCCCACACGTGTTTTGGGGATATTGCATTGGCTAGGAGTTACTGGCATGTTATGAATTGGGGCCACAGATGTTTTATACCCTGCAGAGACAGCCTTGTGTAAGAAAGGAGTTTCTACCCAAAATGTCAGTGGTGTCCTGCTTTCAGAGAATGGAAAACTTGAGACTGGGAAGAGACTGGCTAACATACTGTTTCAATAATCCAAGCAAGGTCTGGGGGTGGCCTACAGTAAAATTGTGTTAGTTTGTGCAATCATAAACGAGTGATTTTGAGGTGGGAGGACATCAGATCTGTTGCCCTCTCTGTCCATGGAAGAATGGGGAAAGAACACATACCCAGATCCTTGTAACATTTCTTAAAACCTCATGCACAGGTGAGCACAGTGGCTGGCACATGCTTGTAATTTCCATGATTCAGGAGATTGGGGCAGACAGATCACAAATTCAAAGCCAACCTGGGGAATTGAGCAAGACCTTGCTTCAAAAAATAAAAAGGGTTGGTATGGAGCTCAGGGATAGAACACCCCTGGGTTCTAGCCTCAATATGGGTTGTCAGGGGAGGGGGCAAAAACTCTCATGCATAAACTTTAGCTCAGTTACTGAGAAAGGTGAGGATTTGGAGTCCATTTCATTTTAGAATACAAAAATACTTCACTAGATTCTTCTGTGATGAAAGATATATATAAGCAAGAAAACATAATATGCACCTCAATGTATTGTCACTGGAAGAGAAAGAGAAATTCGATCACTGTCTACCTGAAGCACTTTGTGACCTTGAATATTTTGGCAGATTCAGAATAACTGCAAAGATCTTCCTTTCAAAACTGCGAGTATATGATGAAGGTACACATGCCCTTATTTAAAGAGGAGTCACCCACTCTCTGTGTCATCTGTATTTTCCTTCCCTCTGCATCCTTTTACCTTTTGGGCCTTGGTGGCCCGCTAGCGCATCTCTCTGGGAAGAGGGTGCATCACTCAGAAGAGGAAGCCTAACCTGCAGTTTCTTCCCGGTCTCTCCCAGGTCTCCGAAGACCATGGGTTATTTAGGCTCTTGGTTCTCTCTGGCTGGCTGCCTGCTGACCTTGTCTGCTTTGAGGCATCCTTGTGTAACTGAAAAAAGAGAAAGAATTCTTTAGTTTGCTCTCTCTTTTGTTTGGTACTGGGGATTCCACCCAAGAGTGCTTTTATCACTGAGCTACCTCCCCAGTCCTTAAATTGATGAGGCTGGTCTTGAACTAGGGATCTCCTCCTGCTTCAGCCTCCTGAGAAGCTGGGATTATAGGATTTTTTTTTTCTAAAAAATTATGGAAAAATCATAAACATCAAAAGTCCAGGAAGTATTTCTTTCCTGGGCAGTGTGACAATGGTGGAGAGAGGGCCCTGAATTGGGACATCTGTGCTCTACAATATCACTAAGAAGTTGTGTGATCTTGGCAAATCACCTAAATCCCATCTTGCTTTGTCATCTGGATTCTTTGTGGAAGATGGTACAGATAGATGACTCTTTGGCAATCATTTGGGGCATTTGATTACTTGGGCAGATTACAAGGACACTTAGAATGAGGTTGCGGGGTTTAGAATAAATCCCAGAGCCTTTCAAACATGTACTTCTGATGGCTAATGTACAGACGTGCACATTGCACCTGTCTTCTTAGGAAGTACCCTGTCACTGGGCTCAGTGGCACCTACCTGTAATCCTAGTTACTCAGGAGGCCAAGGTAGGAGGATCACAAGTTCAAAGCCAGCCTGGGCAACTTGGTGAGACCCTGTCTCAAAAACATAAAAGTGAAAAGGGATGGGAATGTAGCTCAGTGGCAGAGCACTTACCTAGCATGTGAAGGCCTGGCTTGGATACCCAGTACTGGAAAGAAGTTGTTAAAAAGCACCTTGCAGTAGAGAAGTATGCTAGAAATGGCACAGGTTCCTTTATGCCCCTCTATTAGCTCCTCTGCTTTTTACAGTTCTGAGAAGTAGAACCAAGATGAAAAAATGGCTTTAAGCAAACTGCCTCAATAGCAGAATAAATAGGTTAACAGGTGGCTAAGTTTTTCTTCCATTCTCCTTCCCCCAGTTATAGATCATAGAAATGCTTGCATGTTTGAGAAAATATCACCTTTATCCTTTATAATTTGGAACAATCTAGGTCTAAAGCCAAACACAAAAAGATATGTCAGTTGAACAAGAAAAGCCATTCCTTCCCCACCTCCCCCATGCTTTCATTGGGTGATGCATCAAAAGTTTGTCAATTGCAAGAACACAAGACCTAGCTTAGTATACATATAAGTCCCAGTGACTCAGGAGGCTGAGACAGGAGGATAGCAAGTTCAAAGCCAGCCTCAGCAACTTTGTGATGCCCTAAGAAATTTAGTTAAGAACTTGTCTCAGGGGTTAACACCTGCCCATGGATTCAATTCCTAGTACCAAAAAAAAAAAAAAAAAAGACCTAAGACTTGTTATTTGCCAAGTGCTGGTCAAACCACATATATTGGTATTAAGCAGAGAAAGTGACACTGGACAGAGGTCCCAGGAGGTTCCTCCAAGGGGGGCAATCGGACATCAATTTGACCTGGGCGGGTTCTTGATTTATACTGCTGAAAAGAATTCTGGGATGTGTCAAAAGCCAGGCACAAGGGGCTGGGGATATAGCCCAGTTGGTAGAGTGCTTCCCTTGCATGCACAAGACCCTGGGTTCAATCCCCAGCACCTCAAAAATTAAGAGTCAGGCACAAGCAAAGATTTCATTAAAGGACAGCAAATGTGTGTACACCCCATAGGCAGGATGTGGGTACCCTGTGAGAAGACGGTGATTCACCCCAGAGTTGTTAAGCTCTGATTATATATATGACCTTTCTTTCCTTTTGGGGTACTGGGGATTGAACACAGGGGTGCTTTACTACTGAGCCCTTTTTATTTTGAGAAAAGGCCCAGGTAGGCCTTGAACTTGTGATCCTCCTGCCTTGGCCTCCTGAGTAGCTGGATTACAGAGATGGGCCCCAGTGCTCAGTGAAGGAGCATTTAAGACAAGACAAGATGAATAGGCAAATGAACATTTTGGTGAGGTGGTTTTCAGTTATTTACAACACCCAGCTCTGTTCATCGGAGGGAGTTTCCCAGACTGCCGTGGTGGAGGTACTACAAGCCTCTGCATGGCCTGCCTGTCCTTTCTCCTGTACAAGCTTGTAGGAGCTGAACCGGGGTTGGCTGGGATCCTGCACACATCTGTCTTTGTTCCTTGTGATTCCCATGACTTTCTGCCTTTTGGCTGTACCCTGTATCACTTTGAGGCCTCTGGAGGTTGGCGGGGTGGGTGGAGGGCTGCAGAGGCTCCCCCTAATTTACCTTTTCAGATATTCAGATATTAACTTGGTACAAGGCTGTCATTTGAGTTGGGAGAAGTAAATTGTTTTTAAGGTTCAACCAGAGGACAGGAACGATAGTAGATGAATCGGACATTATCACACTATGTGCATACATGACCTGTGTAACACAATATCATGTACAACCAGACAAATGAGAAGTTATACCCATTTATGTATGATGTGTCAAAACATATTCTACTACCATGTATAACTAATTAGAACAAACACACAAACAAAAATAAATGACGATTAAACCAGTAGAAACCATTATTTATTAATTTCGGTTTATATTGTACTTTGAATTCCTGTTAGGCAAGCATCTATTGGTCTCCTTTTTTCTTCTTTCTAAAGAAAGTCAGGGAAATGGACTCTAAGCCTGTTCCTAGTTGGCTTTTGACTGTTTCTAGCATCAGCAGAGTTCACTTGTTTGATTCTCACAATTTCAAGACCCAATGCAGTTATCAACTTCTTCATTTTACATCTGGACGATGCCACTCAGGTTAGGGGAAACACCCAAAGTCCTGCAGACAGCAGGAAAATGACTCTCAGCTCAATGCTTCTATGCATGCCTCCTTTCTGTATCTCTCTGGGGAAACAGATACACAAGACTTAAGATCACATGCCCATTTAATAAATGTTTATTCAATGAAAGGATGTATAAAAACTTACAAATCTGAGAACTCAACTATACATACAATAGGATGATGGGATATTCAGTTTTTAACATGTACATACAGTATAGCTATTGACTATTCTCCCCCTTCCCTCTCCCCTTCGGTTTTTACTTCTGGCTCCTATTTTGTCCTGTGAGACCATTCATTCTCTTATTGGCCTATGGGAAGATTAACGGACAACTTGTACTGCTTTCAGGTCGGTGGAGAAAATTTTAGGTGTTAAGAAAAAAAACAAAAAATCAAAGAATACACATCAAAATTAAGTTTTTTTCTCCAAACGGCAAATCAGATTTTGTCCTGATTTCTTTTTGCCATTTTAGATACTTCAACAAATGTTCCCAGTGAAGTATTAGCACTGACTTTCAATAAAGTTACATTTCCTGCCCACACCTCCTCTTTAAGATGCATATTCCAATATCCTTTTCCCTGCAGTGCACACATTGATTTAAAAGCAGCTGGTTGGTACTGAAACAAATTTCCCACTGGCAACTGCTAGAAAATGGCATGTCATTTTCTGTTCAGAAAGACAATCTATATAGTACTTTCAAATCTGACTTTTAAAACAAATGTGTCAGAAACTAAAATACAGCATTTTGTTGTTCAACTTGGAAAGAAGCCAGCAATTAGCTAAGGCATGTGCATTAGTTCACCTGTTTATAGCAAGTGTCCACATTTTCTCTTACAAACACACAAAGTCACAGCTTGTCATGTTTTATCCAAAAATTAAGATTGCCATCACATTATTACTTTTTTTGTGTTTTGTTAAAGTAGATTTCCTAACTAGTGATTTCTCTTAACTGGACATAATCTCAAAGGGTGCATTCTGAAACAAGACACCTGGAGGATAAATACTAAAAACATTTTCTTGGGTTTAAAGTTTCCCCACACCTTCTAGGGTTTGCATAGTACAGAGCCCCGCTTTATCTCTAAAAAGCATGCTGTATTTTCTGACATTGTTTTTCTGAGAAGGAAGACTCATTACCCAGGGAAAGTCATAATTTTATCTTACCAAATTATATTCTCGTTGTTTTGTTTTGTTATAGACCCTTAATTAGTTCCATGTATGCTTTTAAATAATCTAAAACTTCTCAAAATCTATTTTAAGTTTACAAGTACTACCGACCATTATCTTTCCAATATCCCCTGAATTAAAGTAAATATATTCCAGGTTTATAATGCACAAAGCCTTTCCAGAGGTGGGGCTGGGATGGGGAGATGAAGAAGAGGAGAAGGGAACAGGGACCTGTGTGTGTCATAGTCTGAACTGTGCAGAAGCACAGTTCTGAGCTGGGGGGAAGGGAAAGAAGATAGTTTTTGTAAAAATGACAGTTTTTAAAAAGACAAGCAACATTCAGTCTAGTAACACGGTTTCCTGTTCCTTTTTGATGGAAGCTAACACTGGGTGGTCAGGTTCTGCTACTTCTGAGTCCCCACTGCCCAGGAGAATGGACCGCCCCTCATCTAGGGCAAACACGTCTGAGTTCTGGTTTTGGCAAGAGTGTTTGACCACCTCATTGGGAGTCGAGAACGTTTTGTCACACAAGTTGCACTTGTAGGGTTTGTTGGTTTGCACCAGCATGTTGTCCATCTGACTACCTTCCTCAAATGTGCAGAGTTCCAGAGTCTGTTTGTCCACCATGGTGTAGGTGTCGATGCTCTGGTTGAGGCACACGTGCCGCGCAGCCTGGTTGGCTCTGCAAAAGCTCTTGTCACAAGTGCTACACTTGAAAGGCTTCCCGGTGTGTATGTACATGTGCTCCCTCCAGTGGCTCTTCTGGATGAATTTGCGTCCACATATCGTGCACTCGTATTTCCGTCTCTTCACCTCCCGCTCCTGGTCAGCCTGCTCCAAGTTGTCAATGTCAGCGATGTCAGAGGGGGGCGGGGTTTCCGACTGCTGCTGCCCATCTATGATGGGGGAGTCTGAGATGTGCTGCAGCTCGCTGTCACTGATCATCCCCGCTTCAGGCACTTCCATAGCATCTTTCCCGAGGTCTGCGGCATTGCTGCAGAGAGACAAGGGGACTCGGCTTTCCCCCTGCTGGCTGGACGTGAAGGGTACTCCCGTGTGAATCTGGAGGTGCTCTCGCAGGCTGCTCCGGAGGGTGAAGCGCCGTCCACACAGGTGGCAGGCATAGTACTTGGGGAAGCTTCCGTTCCTCTTCATGATGCTTGGCTTGACGTGGGCAATGGTGAGGGACGCAGGCTGCTCATCAGAGGAAGAGGCCTCCAGATTGGTTTCCTCCCCAGGAGGAGGGGGAGGAACAGGAGTGGAGACCAGTTCTGGAGACAGCGAGGTCTGCAAGGGGTCCGAGGGAGTCATGTTTGTCCGGTTCACCTGGGCCAGATTGGAAGTCAGCTGCGACAGCTGTGAAGCCTCTGGCACCTGTTCCTGGCTCATCCTGGAGGTCTGTGGCCTTGGTTCTCGACCAAGTTTTTCAGGTGCCGAGGCAATCTTGGTGGCTTGCCTTAACTGGTGATCTGCGATCTGAATGCCATACAAGGAAGAGGCCAGTGGGAAGACTTGGTCAGGATGAGAAAAAGTGCCTTGGCTGGCAAGGCTGGCTTCCTGGATCAGTGGGTAGGCGTGCAGAAACTTGATCCCCTGCTCTAACCGAACAGGGTCGATCAACTGAGGCGCCATCTTTCCAGTGTACATCAAATGTAAGAGATAGCTGAAGATGTCAGGCTGTATGTCAGTTGGTTTCAAACGGACGCACTCGCTGGAAGAAACAAGTAAAATGTGTGAGTAAATGTCAGTTGATGTCTCAAATGATAACATAAAGCCCAAAGAAGAAAAAAAACAGACACATGAAAACAATGAAATAACGTTTCTCATTTCTGCCTGTTGGAACCTCTTGGCCTAGCAGAGCTTTTAGCTAGAAGTCTAGAGTTCTGTATTGACCCACCCCACAGCTCAGCGGCAGATCTTTACAGTAAGTAAACAGTCTGATTAGAAAGTGTCTTCAGATCTGAGCTGACCCGGGGAGCTATACTAGCACGGACAGCTCATAATGTTGGAGCTCCACGGCTCTCTCCTGCATGAGGGCTGATGGGGACAGCAGAGAGGCCAGTCACCTTCCTGGTGCTGCCAGGTGGCATTAAAGAGCGGCTGTGGCACAACACGGTCCCTTTCGGATGCAATCATTAGCATCAGCGCCAGCAGGCTGCAGGGGCAATACCTCATTAACTCCCAATCATGCTCATTTTCCAGGTGAGGGTGTGGCCAAGGGACTGACCCTCTGCTCAGTATCACAGAGTTTGTAAGTGGCAGAACTGGGATTTGCATCTAGACTATTTAGTCCCAAAGCCATCTCACTAAGAAACTTCAGAGCAGCAAAACAATTCTGTGTAGCAAATGATTCTCAATTGATAGATACGGAACCTGAGGTACCAAAAGCGAAGTGACCTATCTGAGGCACCTAAAGCAGCTGGTGGCACAGGTGATTTTCTGAATTTCAGACTCTACTGCATTGCTTCAGAAACATCATCCTGATTAAGCAACAATAAGGAAGAGGTCCCCAAGGACTCTCCTCAGACCACCAGTAATGACAGAAATTCTAACACATCATCAGAAATCAATGATTTATAAAACTACATATCATGAGGCACATTATCACCCACCAAGTGAATATATTCTATAAACAAGGCATTTTCAGGGATTACGTCCTCAATATGTTTTTAGAATTCATAACAATTTGATTATAAGACTTCTTGATATTTTAATTCTCTTTTAAATGTTTTGGTAATAATGTTAATTTTGTTATTATCGAATATTTTTTAATATGCTAAAATTTATAAATAGAACAAAGTGATTTGAACAATGACTTGTGACAGGACAGTTTTGAATAATTACTGCATAGACGTCAATTGTGTATACTAAGAAGACTGCATACAAATAACCACGTGGTTATTTGTGCTTGACTGCAGAGGATGGAAGCCAAAGAGGAAAATCAAGCATTCAAACTAGTATCCCTTTTTGGGCTTGGTGGCGCACACCTACAGCCCCAGCTGCTCAGGAGGTTGAGGTAGGGGGATTGCAAGTTCAAGGCAAGTTCAACTTAATAGTTGAGACACTGTCTCAAAAAATATAAAGGGCTTGGGGTGCAGCTCAGTGGCAGAGCACCCTTGGGTTCATTACTATTATTTATTTTATAAATAAATAATAAACTTCAAAATCAAACCAAAGAAAAACAACTAGCATCCTTTTGACAGTTCAAATGGAGGAATAAATGTGACTGTTTTTCTTTTCTTTTAAAAAAGACACACAGATCATTTATATTTTCACTTGGAATCTTTTTTATTCCTTTAAGTTACTTATATTCCTTGAAACAGGAATGTAAATATGGTGGTGTTTTCTTTTAGCACAAGAGGAGTGCCAACAATAGTATATGCAGAGTATAATATATTTAGATACTCTAGTGAAATTTAATAATCAAAAAAGCTTCAGGAATTTTATGTGACGAAGATGACTTTAGTAATGCAAACAGTCATCTCCCAGGGGAGGAAGGCACTGGAGGAACCCTTCCAGAATCAGGCAGAGGTCCAGGGAAACTTATGCCTTCAGAGATGCATATTGTTCCCAGACCAGTCCTCATGGGAGAAAGAGGAAATAGAGGGAGTGGAAATTTAAAGGGGGCCTCCCCCCCACCATTAAAGCATCCATGAAGGGTATTATGTAGAATCCTTTTCCAAAAAATGCTTAGTGTGTTATAATTTCTCTTACTTCTGGTTGGATAGGCTGTCCCGTCTACTCCTTGAGAATGGTTACTCCACAGTAAACCTCTTAAATTTTAAGCAACTGTGTACAGTCCCTAGTGGCAAAGCCAGGAAGGAGCTAGGGAGCCCACTGCCCACACTTGAGTTAGGCTGGAGAATAAGGACTATCAGGGCAGGCAGTGCTGGCCAAGGGCCAGGCAGAGGAAAGAAAGCAGCCTATCTTGGGGTCACAGCCAGAACCCCAGGGCCCAGGGAGGTCTTCAGCCACCAATTTAGTTTCTTTGTTTAAAAAAAAATTTTAAAGCAGAAGCTCATGTGTATACACATACACACACACACAGTTAGAAAACAGGGGCATTTTTCAAAGTTTCAGATGTCCACATTCCAGCCACCACCATCCTTGACTCCTGGGCAGCCTGACCTCTCAGCTCACTGTGGACCAGCTCTGGTCACTTCTAGTCCTCTACAACATAACCTCGCCTAATGTATGATTTGTGGACTTTTGCTTGGCATTAACATTTTATGCAGGAAAAATTGTAAATAATGTTTTATTTTTTGTTTAGTCAGATAATTTCCATGTTCAGTTTGTGGTAATTTCCATGTTCATTTTTTCTTTCACTAGAATTTTAAGGTGAGGGATTTTAAACAGTGCTGAACATCATCAGTGGTTGCACTTGGCAAGACCTACCCTGCAACAGCTCGTTTTTGAGGGCTCAGTCTCTAGACATAAAACAGAGACAGAGACAGAGACATCTAGTGGTAACTACAGGGCATAAAATACCCTAAGTAAAACCTGAAGATTCCCATTGTCCTCTGAGTCTGAGTGCCAGGCGTGGTCACAGTGCTATGTGGCATGCTCTGGGCCTCCGGCCAGCGTTTGCCTCAGTGACCTTGCACTCTGCACCTGGAGCTGCACAAGGCTGGCCAGTAGTAGCTGCCCAAACTGCTCTTGTCACCTCTGGTGTAATTCACACTACTGCTTAAACTTAGGACCTCCTGTGACAACAAGATCACACTCCCTTACTAGAAAGACACTTGTTCACTACCCTAGACTTAAGTTTCCTGCATTTAACGAAAGCCCATTACATTGCATTTACTCCTCAAAATTAAAATATCCTTTTTGAGATCATTTAATTCGCTGTATTGAAGCTACTAAGTGCCAAGACCTCATTGGTCGTGAAGTCTCTAACACAATAGAGTTAAAGGGTTCTTTCTTTCTTTCTTTTTCGCACTGCTGGGATCCAACCCAGAGCCTTCCAGCGCTATGCCAGTGCTCTACCACTTAGCCATGTGTCCAACCTGCTGTCGCCACTAAGCCTGCAATCCTGTTATTTTGTTACTGGCCCTTTTGCTCCTCCAGATGTTTACTGAGTGGCTGTTCTATTGCTTGCCCACATCTCAATTATCTTCCGTGGTGTCCACAAAGCTGTGTAAAACCCCATCTCTGCCCTCAAGAAACTTACAAATGAGGAGTGGAAATAAAAACACAAACAACAACCATCTGGGAAAAACGTACAGCCCCTGGAAGTGGCACGAATAGTGTTGGGGTCATACCCATGAGGGAGGAAGGAGGGCACTTTTGATTATTTTGTCTGCTTGACAAGGGAGGTGCCATGGCAGAGGGCTGTGAGCGCTGGACTCAGGGAATGGTGAGTAAGCCAGGGCAGCTGCATCAGGTCCTGGGAAGACGGTGGAGTGTCCCCGAGGGACGAGGCCAGAGGATCAGGCTCCAGACCCACGGGCAGAGTAAGGAGCCTGAACGTTGTTTTTTATGTAACGGGTGTCCTTGTGGTCGATCATCAAAGACCTCACCCAGTTTAGTAGCTTCCCATCAAAGGCACTCTGCAACCAAACAGCGTGTGGGACAGCAACCTGACAGGATATGAAAACGAATGACAGAAAATGGAAGCCAGAACGGAAGGACAAGAGTGAAAGGTATTTTGAAGGAAACACAATCTGGGGGTTGATAAAATGTGACTTGAAAGAGATGTTAAGCTTGGGTTGCCTGGAGATGCAACAGGCAGGTCAGGGGGCTTGAGGGTAGAGACTGAATTCATTTTGGATATGCCAGTGAGATAAAGGGGACAGTCAAAGCTGAGTCACCAGTGGGTTGCCAGGATGGGGGACCGGGGTTGGGAATGGGTTCTGCAAACAGAAAGACGGTGGCCAGAGCTATAACCTGCAAGTTCCCAGCAGCAAAGGCAAGACCTAGGATAAGCACTGGCTTCACAGGAGAGTGCACAAGGAGGGCAAGGGAGCCCAAAGCTGAGGGAGGCTTGGGCCCCGAGGTAAAGAACAGGGGCATTCAGTCACACGAATCAGGTGAATCCTGCTTCAGCTGGGAGAAGACAGCAGAAGTGCTGCTGAGGACAGTAGGATGGACACTGGGAGAAAGGGTGACCTTTGAGACACGATGTCAGCGGAGTGATGGGAGGAAACCACGGTGCAAATGACAGGAAGAGCGTGAGATGAGGAAGGTGCACAAGAGGACACAGGGGACTCTGCTGAGAACGTTCACAGTCAACTAGAGGAGAACAGAGCTGCACTCAAGCGGACAGCAAGGCGAGGGTCCTGATCTCCCACAGAACAGCGGGGCATGGGGAAGGGACCAAGAGTAAGTATGAAGGACAGAAGGAGACCTGAGAGGCACAAGAGAGGTCGGAGGACCATTCGCCTCAGACACCAAGAGGATCTTTCTCTAAGACACTTAGGAGAGAGAGGAAGAGGAAAACCTGAGGAAAGAGAGAAAAGAGGGAAATTAGGGGAATTCATGTGCTCCAGCTTCTCATCAGAATGGGACTAAGAGGAAGGACTTATTGTAAGCCTGGCAGACGCTCAGGCACTGGGGCCGCAGGAGGGAGGGCTCAGACAATGAGCCCTGGGGAAAGCTTGCTGACAGAAGGGCTTGTGGAGGGCTTTGGAATGGACCTGGACCTGCCATCCAGACCCTGCAGGTGACACCCACTGAGGCTATCTAGAGGGGGAGGGGCTGCATGGGGCAGAGAGGTGGGTGATTCTCAAATGCTGCTGAAAGCATGAGGAACCAAGAAAGGCAGGGGACAGGGTCACAAGGGAACCGGGCACCTAGGAGCCTAGGGAGAGGCAGAGAGACCCATGGACTGGATGAAGGCAAAGAGCGTGCTCAGAGGACAGAGGGACATGGAGTTAGGAAGTCCATAGTCATTAGATTATTATCAACCACTTTAGTTACCTGGTCTGATGGACAAACAACATCTTAAAGTAATTGGAGAATGAAGCAAGAACTGATTTGTGTGCCTTGAAGTACACATCGCCGATTGCAACCGTGCAGTCACACAGGAAACCAAACTCTCGCTGAGCGTTTAACTGTTGCAGTAGAATAAGTCCATGGTTGGTCAAATCCATTTTTTTAAATATCTGCAAAGTAAACAATTTTGTTTTTAAGAAAGGTGATTCACAAATCAGAATGTGTCCTTTATAGTCATCAATACTGATCATCACTAACATGTCATTGCAGGTATCGAACATGTCAGGCATTGCTAAACATGGTCCATAAATTAACTCATTTGTCTTCATAACAGTCCTAGGAATTAGGTCTGCCATGATTCCCGGCTTATAGATGACAACAAATGCCGTAACTTAGGAGGTTTTGTGACTTGCCCAAGTTTACACAGATGGTATGTGGAGAAGCCGATAAGAGAACTAGGTTGTCTACCTCCAAGCATCGAGTCCTTGGCACAGCAAATATTCCTGGAACAGAGAGTCTTTTGCAGACCCCGAATACATGTTCTAATGATCTGTCAGAATTTGTTCGATTTTCCACAAAGATTGATTAATTAAAGTGTTGGGTGGAGTTCTAGTAAGGCAGGATGGAAACCTTACTAACTCTAGGGGTTTTCTAGCTCCTCTTCATGCTCATGCAGGTGATAAGATCCCTCATACATTCTCCTGTCCTTTTCACTCTTAACACCAATCCAGGGAGGAAGCAGGTCTGGCCTCTGCCTCCCTTTTGTGGAGGGGGAAATGGGCTTTGATATGGGTAAGGTATTTGCCCCAGGCCTTCCATCTGAAGGTGGGGGGGAACAAAATTTAAATCTGATTGTTCCAATAAAAATTCTATGATTTCTACTATTCAAACAGCACCCCAGCAAACTAGTAGAGAAACTATCAGATTTTGCCCAGCTTCCCAAATCCCTAGATCACGCCCTTTCCACAAACAGCATTTATAAAAGCCCACAACACACAGATCAACATTAAAATTTTTGCTGAGAAAAAAGTGAATACTTTCTTATATTTTGGAACAAGGCAAAGATGTCCCTTTTCTCTGGAGGTACTCACCAATACAACTATGCAAAAAATGAAACAGAAGACATTCTGAAGGCAAAGGAAGAAATAAAAGTGTCCCTGTTTGCAGATAACATGATTGCAATGGAGAGAATCAAGGAGTCTACGAAAACTCCTAGAATCAATAAATAAGTTTGACAAGGTCATAAGCCTACAAGATAAATATACCAATCTAGTAATGAATGTGTGTGTGGACACTGAAATTAAGAATGTAATGCCATTTAAAATGACTCAAAAAACAAAACACAGAGTTGTAATCAATAATGTGCTGGGGAATAAATCAAGAAGCGTTAAATAAACGGACAGACACAATATGCTTGTGGATAGAAAGACTTGACATAATAAAGATGAGTTTACCCCAAGCTGATATATAGGTTTTACACAATTCCTATCAAAACCTCAAGACTTTTTTGATAAATTATTCTAAAATGCGTATGTAAAGGCAAAGGAACTGGAGTAGCTCAAACAATTTTAAAAAAAGAACAACAAAGTGGGGAAAAATCAATCTACCTATTTTCAGGATGCATTATACTGGCATGAAGTTAGAAACGTTGGAACTGGCAGAGAGACACACAGGCATCAATGTAACAGAACAGAGAACCCAGAAGTAGACCCAAGTAAATATGCACAATTAATTTTTGAAAGAAATTCAATTACTTTATCTTAAATTAGACAAAATTTTACAATATACAATGATTGTTGACACAGATACAGAAGCAGAACCTTCTCAAAAAATGGTGCTGGATCAATTGACTTCCACAAGCAAGGTAGGCAGACAGCACTTGGCTAAGCCTCACACCTTACATACAAATGAACCCTAAGCTACCACAGCCTTCAATGAAAAACACAAAACTATACTATGTTTGGAGAAATCCTTCAGAATCTAGGGTTAGGCAAAGAGTTTCTACACTTGACATGGCAGTAGAACATTCATAAGGAGAAAATAATATATTGAACTTCATCAAAATTAAAACTTTTGCTCTCTAAAAGATTCTGTTAAGAGGATGAAAAGACAAACTAAAGACTAGGAGAAAAATATCTTAAAAAACTTTTGCAAAATACTCCTCCAACAAAGGGATAACATCTGCAATGCAAAAAGATCTCTCCAGGGCTGGGGATGTAGCTCAGGGGTGGAGTGCTGGCCTAGCATGTTCAACCAACCAACCAAAATACACACACACATTCTCTCAACTCAACAGTAAAAAACAACTGAAACAGAAGATGTGCAACAGACCTGAAGAGATATTTCACCAAAGAGGATATACAGATGGCAAATAAATACATGAAATTGCTCAATGCCATTCCCTAGGGAAATGTAAATTCAAAACACAATATCCTTATACACCTATCAGGATGGTTAAAATAAAACACAGTCACAGTAGTACCAAATGCTGATGAGGATGTAGAGAAACTGCACCAATCATATGTTGCTGACAGGAATGCAAAATGGTTCAGTTTCCTTTACTTCTGGAAAATAGCAATTTCTTTAAAAACTAAACACACAATTATCATGTGACCTAGAAATTGTACTTCTGGATTTACTTCAGAGAAATGAAAACCACATTCACACAAAACCTGTACATTAATGTCCATATCAACTTCATTCCCAAGAGTCAAAACCAGAAGTAAATGAGAAATAATTGGTGTGTCCCTATGTGGAAAGCTACTCAGCCATGTGAAGAAATGGTATTGATATATATACAGCTTGGGTGAATTATGCTCAGAGAAAAAGGTTAATCCCTAAAGGTCACACACCATGTGATTCTTTTGGTATACAACTCTTGAAAATATAGAAATGAACAGACTTGCAGTGGGGGGGGGGCGGGGAGCAGGCGGGTGTGGCCACCGAAGGGCAACCTGAGGGATTCTGGTGATGACAGACAAGCTCTGCAGCTAGACTACATCAACGCCATTATCCTGGTTGTGGCACTAGATAGTGCTAGAGTTCTGCATGCTGTTTCCACTAGGGAGATGGGCTAACAGGTGCACAGGATCTGTCTGTCCAATGAAGGTGAAACGATCAGAATTAGGAAGGAGAGACAGAAAAGAAATGGGGTCTGGATGAAAGCCACAGACACAGCCAGGTTGCAGAGTAACTGTGATTACACAGAAACCTGACCGCCCCAGGAGGACTTCGAAGCTTGTCTTCAAAGCTGTTCTGCCTAGTGTCAGAGCAACCCCTTCCCAGTGTATTCACCTACCTTTTCTCCAGCAAAAGGTATCACATCCTTGAGACCCAGTTGAGAAGTGCTGCCCTGCCACATACTGACTATGTCCTGGCTTACCCGTGGGTCTAGGCAGCTTTCAGTCCCACACCTTTGACAGAAATATCAAGCACATCACCAGTTATCCCTCCAGGACAGGAGAGGCTGTTGCTCATGAAGGGCTGGCTGGCTTACTATTAGCCCCTCATGTCCATATGCTGTTCATTTAGTTTCACACTTACTTACTGGAGATAGTTATGGTATTGCTACTCACTTTATGAACAAGGAGGCTGGCTTAAAGAGGGTAGGTAGCTTGCCTCAGTAAGTTCAAGAATGGAATTCAAATTAAGGTTTACTTGATAACAAGTAAAGACTAGGAGAAAAAAATCTTTTTGCAAAATATTCCTCCAACAAAGGGATAACATCTGCAATGCAAAAAGATCTCTCCAGGGCTGGGGATATAGCTCAGAGGTGGAGTGCTGGAAATATCATATTTTTATTGTTACTTTTAAATATATACACTTGCTAAGAAGTCTCAAATACAGCAGGTGCAGGGGCACATGCCTGTGATCCCAGCAATTCCAGAGGCTGAGGCAAGAGGATGGTAAGTTAGCAAGACCCTGTGTCAAAATAAAAATAAAAAGGGCTAAGGATGCAGCTCAGTGATACAGCTCTTCAGTGATAAAGAGCCTCTGGTTTTCAATCTCCAGTACCAAATAAATAATAATTAAAAAAAAGACAAAGACTCAAATACTATGGACAAACAAAATGTGAGAGCTGCCCAGCCATTCACCCATTTCTCCACCCTCTGGCTAATACTGGGCATATTTAATTACTGCTTTACCACTTTTAAAAGAATCTTTGCTGAACACTTTTTTTTTTTTTACTTTCTATGAATTTAAAGATTATTTTATATTAATTGGCCACTCTTATTTCCTCTAGCATCTCTACATGAGCTTCGCCCATTTTATTCTTTCTTTTTCTTTTCTTTTTATAGAACTGGGGATCAAACCCAGGGCCTCACATTTACTAGCCCAGCACTCTACCATGGAGGTACATCCTCAGCCCTTTTTATTTTTCATTTTGAGACAGGGTCTCACTAAATCACTTAGGGCCTTGCTAAGTTGCTGAGGCTGGCATCACAGAGATTGCCAGTGTGTGCCACCTTGCCCAGCTCTTGTATTCTTTTAATATTAATTTTATAAAACTCACTATAACATAAGGAAAATGAGCTCTGTGTCACATACTACTAATATTTTTCTTTCTTCCTTCCTTCTCTTCCCCCTTTCTTTTTTTGCAGTGCTAGGACTGAACTCAGGGCCTCACTCATGCTAGTCAAGTGCTCTATCATTGAGCTAAATTGTCAGCATCTAATTTTCTTTTAATTTTGTTTAGATTTGTGTGTGTGTGTCTGTGTGTGTGTGTGTGTGTGTGTGTGTGTGTGCGCGCGCGCTGGGTATACAATCAAGGCTTGAGCATACTAAGCACAAGATCTACTACTGAACCTCACCTCCTGCTCCAAGGTTCTTAGTTTTTACATGAGTGGATACATACAGCACTCTCTTCTTTGACATAGCTAAATGTATGGCTCCCTCTCTTTCCACAAACTAATATAAATGTACTCGTCAACCCACAAGAATGAAGTCACAATAAAAATGCTGAATGTTCTTTTTTATAAGGGAGGCTACTCGCTATTTTAGGATCTCAATTTAAGAACATCTCTTAGATCAAGAAATGGTGAACATAAGTGTTCAAATATAGAGGGAAGAACACGTGCATGGCTCTCAGAGAAATTAAAAAAGCAAAGGAGGAAAACCAGAGGATGAGTTGCATGCTCAAAATCTACATGGGGAAAAATGCACAGGTCAAGTTTTAAAAAAATCTTGAGATCAAACACAAAACCTCTAGACTTTTCTATATATGAATTACCTGAAAAGAAGGGGTAATAGAGAGGACTGCTCCATCCCACCCCTCACCCCAGGGACAGAACCACCCTCTTCTAAATCTTTGTCTCCCTCCCCTTACCTCTTCCTGGCCACCCCCCACTGTTTCCATGAGGCTTAACTTGCACAAAAATGCTGTGGAGGCCCAGGAGGCAGTCACCCCTCCCCCAGGGAAACCGCATCTGCTCATCTGACCTCCTGTTCAGGACAGGTGCAGCCCCTGCCACCTGCTGGGCTGACAGGCTCACCAGGGTCAGGGAAGACCTCTGCTGCTGGCCTCGGCCTCTCTGTGGTACTTCATACCCTTTTTTCTGCATTGATAAGTCCTCCTTTATGGTGCTGGGGTCACCACTCTCATTTGGCCTCAACTCAGGCTGTCACCTTGCTCCCTACCTAGGAGGCCCCCTACCCTTTTTTTGGTATTGGAGATTGAACACAGGGGCGTTTAACCACTTAAGCTATATCCTCAGCCCTTTTAAATCTTATTTTGAGACACTGCTTAGGGCCTTGCTAAATTGCTGAGTTTGGCCTTGAACTTTTGATCCTCTTGCCTCATTCTACAGAGTGGCTGGGATAACCAGTGTGTGCTATGCTGTCTGGCCCAAGGAGTACTCTTGCTGTGCTCTCCATGCCTGGTCCATAGCCACCTCCCAATGCTCTTGGTGAGAGTATCCACCTCTGCTCAGTGTCCCACAGGAACCCTACACTCAGTAGATGTAAATCAAATTCCCTATACCTCCTCACACTTCTACAAGAGACCATGAAAACCCGGGGCACAAGCCTGTTCTGTATTCCCCACCTCAATGCATGTCCCACACCCCCTTGACCAAACCAGAATCTCAGCACAGCCTTCAGGCCTCCCTTTCTTTTAGACCTTGCCTCAACTGAAACTTTCCCCCACTCCTCATCTTAGTTTTACCTCCCAATCCACCTCCCGTTTCTGGCCTCCTTAACCCATCCACCTTGTAACAGCCAGAGTGAACTTTCCCAAGGGCAAATCTGATGGCCCTGTCTTGCTCCATATTTTCCTATGACTCCCCAGGAAGAAGCCCTGACCCCTGAGTATAGCTTTGACTGTGCCATCTCACTGTTGCTCAGTCTGCACAATGTACTCCAGTGCTGATCCAGTTCCTTGATTTCACACTTACCATCCAACCAACCAACCAACCAACCAATCAACCTCTAAACTGGGGGGTCCAGAGTGATGCTCTCTCTTTATTCTGCAATCAGAACCAAGCTATTTATAAACCCTACAGGGACAGGGACTTTTGCACATGAAGAAGCAGGAAGGACATAGTATCAGCATATCCTTCTAGGGGAAGGACAGCTGGCATTACATTCAGTATATGAAAAGGTTTTTCAATTTGCAAAAAAATTACAACATAAACTCTTTATGACATTAAAGTGTCCAATTATTTATTGATGCAAGACTGTTAGTTTGGTGATCTTTACAAAGTGATTATCAAGTGTGGAGCTTGTTCTGAAATCTAAGCCCTTACTAAAAATCAAGTTTCTGCTGGGGATGTAGCTCAGTGGTAGAGCACTGGCCTAGAGGTGCGTCGCCCTGGGTCTGATCTTCAGCACTTCAAAACAACCACGATAAAGATCCTCTTTGATTGGAGTGTGATGATCATGGAGACAAAATGATATTTCACTCACAATTTCTGGATGAGCTAAGTGGAGGAATGATAATTTCTCTTCCCAGAGGGCCCAGAATGGCCAGGCCATTATTGGGCTCCTAACAGTGTATAACACTCACTGCTCTCCAAGGGGAGCACTCAGCCACCTCATCTCTAATTCAGCCCAGGTTGGGAGATGGGCTGTGTGAACAGTAGCTTAGAATTTATGCTTGGACTTCTGAACATGCTACTTTCATCACGCTCATCATAGACATAAACGTACATGTTCACACATATATGCGTGTACCCATGCTTGACCCAGCCCTAGAATGCTCTTCTTGCCTTGGAGCATCTGTGAACGTGCTGGTTAGTTCGGCAGCCCAATGCTCTGGAAAGCTAACACACAGTCCTTATCATTCACTCGTGCCTAGCTTTGCATTCAGTCTTTGCTAGACAAACTGCTAACGACTGAGAAGATTGCTGAGTTCTCCAGTCACACCTGGTCCCTGAGCGATATGGGATAAAAGCTTGGCTTTTTTTTTTTTTTTTAAAAAAAAACCCTGGGCTGAATTAAGAAACTCTCATCAACTTAATGTGTATTATATTTTGGAAGAATTTTTCAATTTAATATGTCACTTAGTGTTTCTTGCTGCTAGTAATTAGGTTCTGAGTCTACTTTGGAATTTATCATGACCCTGCAAGGCAAAAAGCCTGGGAAGAATGAGGCACCACTGAGGCCCAGGTAAGGACTTTGGTCCTTATCTTAAAAACAATGGGAAGCCTCCAAAAGGATGTTAAGCCTATGACACAATAGAATAGTTCCACTGCAAAGACTACGTGGCTGCAGGTGCAGAACTGCCCAAACTGGGGAGGAGGGACAAAGGGCAGGCAGAGGAGCCTTTTTTGTGGTCTAGAAGAGAGATGAGGAACTAGATGATGGGGATCACGAGGAAGGGGCTAGGCAGGATTCCAGAGATATTGAGAAGATAAAAAATC